ATTTCTCCTCGACAACCCTTCTCCCACAACATTGTGTGTGTCATAGTTGTTTTCTTAATTGTCTTAGAATATTTGCTTAACGAATTGGTGCATTAATCAAAAATGAAGCTACTCAGTCCTGGTTGACCATAAACCAAAGCCATTGAAACCCGACTGGGGATACCGATGCACAGTCCGCTTTGTACTCGTATGATTATTATCCTTGAAAAGGTTTTTGGGGATCCACATGATTACATTATGGTCCGATGTTCCAAGTGGAGCAGAAATATCCGGTGTTTTGTAAAAATATTTCAAGTTCGTAATAATATATAGTCTAGGATTGAATCTTTTCTAGCCGGACGTGTGACGACTTGCTTAAGGTTGTGACTTATAACTAAATCCTGTATATTGAGAATTAGGGTATTTAGAGCATATAGTATCAGTAGAGGACACAAGGTAATGGCAAAGTTTCCTCTGTTCTTGCACACTTTTGTCCGGTGGATTATACACTTCACATACTGCATGCGATTTCAGACAACGGTCTCGGTAGGTGTGGTGGTCGAGCCCACAAGCACATCCACTCTAGATTTAAGTCTTCTAATTCCATGTATTGCGTATTCATGCATGTATCGCGTAATATATTATTATTATTATTTATTTAATTCTTAGTGTTTGTGTGTATGGTGGTTCAGACAGACGCGCTCAAATTGATACAGTAAAAAGCGGAGTACAAATTGTTATAGGTATGAATGTACAGTATATAGATTGTATATAGAGTACTTTTATAAGGTGTATAAAAAAAGTGCACAGTTCTAAAATGTCCCCTGAAAATGTCCACGCAAAATTGAATTCATATATATATTTGTACTATATATATATATATATATATATATATATATATATATATATATATATATATATATATATATATATATATATATATATATATATATATATATAGGGTGCAAAATTGGTAGATGTTTTATCATTTGTGTACATTAATGCCTTTCACGCATATTTTTTAAACTTTTTTAAAACTATGCATAAAATCAATCATGCGTTATACAAATTATACTATAAAGGCTATACTGTACCAAAACGTATACGTTTTGGAGGTCGCGCGTTTGATTTAAAGTACGTCAAATTATCTGGTACTTTGGTGGTTTATAAAAGTGATAAAACACCTTCCAGATTTATACCCTATGAATCAAACCCTATGAGTGGTTTTGGAAACTAGCCTTGCTACACACGAAAATTTACTTTTCATAATACTTTGGTGATACAGATACCATACGACCAGGCTTTTTAGCCAGGGTCCTGAAAGAGGGCGTCCAATTTTGGTATAACGATACATCTACAGTAAGGGGGGGGGGGTGTCGAGAAAACGTTCCTCTGGAAAACCTTTGAAGTTACGTTACATCATGTCAGTATCTGTTCCAAGCTCGTTCGAAATTTTTCAAACACACTTGGCTTTGTGAGTTTGTGCCGCTATGCTTCTTTACTTAACTATGACATTTTCATTCAGCCAGGTACACCATCAAATTGATCAAACTGTCTAATGTATAATAATAATGAGAATTGAAGCTATTTCGTTTCAGATAAATTAATATACTTAGGGAAAATAATTTCCCTTTTCCCCCAGAATTTGGGCGTCCAAAGGCGTCCATTTTTCGTTCTAGGGGCGTTCAAGGACGCCTGGACGCCCTTGTGACTAAAAGCCTGCATACGACCCCAAAATACCCATGCTAACATAAAGTTGTCACAAATAACAGCCGATCAATGATCGGCAGGAAATTGCTTATGATCGGCGGAAAAGCAGGGTTTTCAACCTGAAAAAGCAGGGAAAGTCATGATTGGGAATCCATAATTGGATCACCGTAATTGGGAACTTTGAGAATGTTTATTTCAAGCCCTGACCTGGTATAGATGATTATACCATGATGTCCTAAAGAGAAGTTGTGAACATCATTTCTGTTTTTAGGAACGCCTGGCAGGCTGAATGACTTGATAATGAACGATATTCTTCACGTGAGATCTGTTACGTACTTGGTAAGGCTTATTTTACACAACATACGTCATTTCAGTATGAACCAATCGCAAGTAAAACGCAGCTACAATCTCCGACAGCAATGTTGTGACATCTATATATTGCGTTTCCGCTGCTATACCCTTACTCATTGTTGGTAACCCATGAGGGTTTCACTACACCGTTGTCAGATCAGAGTGCTGACTTCAGCCAACCAATCATATTAAAATCATAGGATTCAAACAGCCAGTTAATTTTAAGAAAAATGTGATATGGCAAATGAGCAAAACAACAAATGATTGCTCTCGAGCGCCTAAACATTGTTTTACAAATAACACAAAAAAATATGGATAGCTACAGTAAACTATATCAAAGAATTGCAAGAGTTTCCAATTCTTTAAAATTTCACAAATAGTAGCAGGTTACATAATCTTCTATCAAACATGGTCAAAATGCCGACAGAAGCAAATTTAGCGTAGGGCAAAACAAGGTAAATTTTGATATCGTCTATGTCCGATTTTAAATGCACAGAACTGCACCAAAACTCTACCAAATCACTCGTAAAACATATAATGTGTTCAAACTTACTTGTGTTGTCTCTTATTCTTTATGTATTTTGAACGTATAAAATACAATTTGACAAATCTAAAGGTTCATCTTGTTCGCTTTAATTAATACTGTTGCTGCGCTACAGCACTTAGAGAGGTACCGGGAGCCGTGTTTTGCAAACAAAAATGTTTCTGATGTTTCCGCTTTACAAGTATGTTTAGGATTTCAAAATGAACGTAATCAAGTGGAAATTGAACTTCGTGTCGTGCAATTTTGGACTGAAATCAATCACACGTTTGATTTCAGTCCAAATTGCACTCCACTCAGTTCCAATTACCATTGTGTATAGAATAGGATAATCCAACTGCAAGCCGGCAAATGCGCAGGGGAATTATTGTACAGTGTATCATTATATATAGTAATATAGCATTTGTAAATTCTGAACGCTGATCGGCTAAGAGCCGTGTTGGCATAACTCAATGTTAACACGGAAACGTCGGAAAATTTCTTTCTCTTTATTTCTTTGTGCTATATTATAAAACAAATATAAAACATTTTTCGGGCGACGTGTTTCACAATTGCTCGTTTTCCCAATTTTCCTCTCGTGTTGATATAACTATATATCAACACGGAAAATGTTTTATATTTGTTAAATAAAAGTCGATAGTATAAACAAAATAGCAAGTACTATATATTTGCATGTAATGACGTGAAAATGTAATGAAAAAGTAACATACGCGTTTGCCAGAAAAGTAATGCGTTGCCACTGCATTTTAACCCAAAATGTTACTAGTTACATTTACGTCTTCCAAACGTAACTACAATTACTTTCAAAAGTTGTTGGGACACATGTAGTTTTAGCTTGCAAGTGGATCATAACAGTTTGTTACAAACAATACCGCTCCCCTCCTTCTCATCCCTTCCCAATCAATGTTGTTTAAACCAAAACTCGTCAAATCTGACGAGAAATAGCACACAACGTTGAATAGGGGGAGGATTGACGTTTGTTGAAATTCAAGGGTTTTGTGCCATCTGTCCCAAGACATTTGAAACTGATTGTAATTACCGTTTCTTGAAAAAGTAACGATTATATACTTTTATTATTGGCAAGCATCACTTCCGGTGAAATGGCGGACTGCGATTGACTAAGAAGCACCTTCAGCGGTGCATTATTTTCCCGTGTAAAAACAAACGCATGCATTTTAAAACAAAACAGCAAAACTAATTGAAAATTTGAAAATTATAATTTAATTTGTTATTAATAAGATATATGCGAATGGTTTTTGGTGGAAAAGAAGGTACATTGATATTTTTGTTTTCAACGACCAAATGTGTACTACGCTACTAATATGCATTTCAAATCATGCATTTCTTGTTTGTTTCAAGTATAAATGCCTAAAAAGCCATATAATAAGCTTTTATTAACCTCGCTTGCTCGGTATGTACAGAGAAATATCGGACCTCGGTCTTTTTGCACAAACCTCGCCCTACGAGCTCGGTCTGTACAAAAAAGACCTCGGTTCGATATTTCTCAGTGCAGACCTCGCGTTCGGTTAATAAGAAGTTTGTAATTTCGTTACTTGTAATGAACTTAGTTGCAGCACTGGATGGCTCGGCTGGGAAAGTTTAACCTAAGTTGATCAAAAATTAACCCGAACCGTTCCCTTTTCCACTGACTGCAGTACGCTTACTGTACACTGAACCTTCACCAATAAACTTACATGCAATTTTAGCTGTAGTTTTGGTTGCAGAAATGGAATTAAGTACAGTTAAATAAACTGCCAGTAGCTCACAATTTTCATGTTTTTTTATGGCCACAGAGAAAATAATTTTTTCCACTCCTGCATTTCCGTTTTCCTGTATTTCCTTCCCACCCTTTAGGATGTTACCTTGATAATCAACCTCGTACCCAGGCTCTTTCCACTACGCTCCTCGCTGGAGGACTCCGGTCACGATTTTGGGAGATATATTTTTCTTACATAAGGATGGGGGGCTTGAGGCCAATAATTGTTTATGTGATTATGGCATTATCTACTTTCAGGTCCTAGACGAAGCGGATAGGATGTTGGATATGGGTTTTGAACCTGAAATTAGGAAAATTTTGATTGATATTCGACCAGATCGTCAAACAGTCATGACCAGGTAGACCTAGAACTAAATATTGAAGGGTTTTTGTTGATGGAAATTTCGAATATGAATTTTATACATTTTTAGACTTAACCAGGAGCGGCCCTCCGATTTCGGTGCAGCGCTCTAATCAACTGAACTACATATAGAATCCAGTTGTTAAGCATTGACCGAACGTTCATGTACTGTATACAGCTATTTCAATTAAGGTTGTCCCCCGAGCAAAGCGGAAAAGTCGAATACGAGCGCGAAAGGCTGCTGGGAATCGCTAATAAATTCATTCATTTATTAGCGATTCCCAGCAGCCTTTCGCGCTCGTATTCGACTTTTCCGCTTTGCTCGGGGGACAACCTTAATTGAAATAGCTGTATATAATTCAATGAATGGAATAAATGACATTGACAATACATTTATCCAATGAGTTCCATGAGTACTTGGAAAGGACTACACTTAGATCAAACTGTAATTTTATTGCAGACTGGAACTTCTTCGATCTGAATATTACGAATTTGCCTTGTTTAACCACTTTTCCTACTTTTAAACGTGCTGTTTCCAAATTTTGTAAATCTACGTTGAATTTTTTTAATCTTCTAATACTCAAACGTTGTTTTTAAATCCATATGACCTAGATATTGGTATATGTAGCTACAGTGTTTTTTACTCTTCTAATTGTCAATAATATATATGCGAAAAATAGAACCGTGACGTCATATCATATGATAGAATACTTTGAACTTTCAGGTCACGCCATCTTTTGTTTTACTGTTTTACTGTTTTGCTGTTTTACTGTTGTTATTTAAAGGTTGAAAATAAATGTAGTTACTAATACTCAAATGTTGTTTTTAAAGGGATATGGCAATATAAATTAAGTTTGTCTTATTTGAAAGAACTTTTAAAGTTATATATGAAGACCTTTTGCAACTTTTTCGTACCTTACTTAGTTTTCGAAATATTTTGACCAAAAACAGTGTGCAGTCCGCCATCTTGGTATTATAATTGACCTAATTAACTGAGTTTTTGATGACGTCACAAGCAGGGTAAATTTGTTAAAACTTCTTCATGTCGGACTAAATTTCTTCGAAAAGGTTCTTAAAATGTTGTGAATTAATTGAGTACTAAATTATTATTCATATTGATAATGACATGTGGTTTGCAAGATAAAAATTTTGCTTTTTATCGTACTTGTGACGTATGCATATCGAATGCATATCCAAGATGGCGGAATACACGCTGTGTTTGATCGAAATAAGTCAATTTATTTCGAAAATCAAGCAAGATACGGAATAATTGTAAAGGAAGTTGATATATCATTTTAAATGTTCTTTCAAATAAGACAAATTTAATTTATATTGCCGTATTCCTTTGAATAACTTACTCACATGTATACAGAGCCCTGCGGAAAAGCCCTGAAATAGTAATTGTTATTTATGACTCAGTGGTGTTAGTGTAAGGTTTATGGGCAAATATCAGTATTTGCGGCATCTTAGATTGGATTATTAATATACTGTTGCTAACTTCTATTTCAGAACCATTCTCAGATATATGAAAAACGAGTTTTTCATCTGACACTGCAGAGTACAACGAAAAATTCATTGTTTCGAGCGAGATTCGAACTCGCATATTCGGCTTTCTAGACCGCCACTCTATAACCGTTTTTGTTAACTTATTAATGAAATACTTATCTTTCCCATTTTTTTTTATCTCCAGTGCAACATGGCCGTCAGCAGTGAGACGTATGGCTAGTCAATATGTCGAAAACCCTGTGCAAGTCAATGTTGGTTCTCTAGACTTAGCAGTAAGTTGTGCCCTGTTTTTGTTGACATTTTTTGGGTTCACCTGGTTTGTGAATTGTATCAACAATGAGCACTTTACAAGTTTGCATAACATGATAACACTTATGTTTGCCTAACAACGTGTTGACAGATGGAAAAACACACAGAAAGAAAAACAGCTACAACAGACAGACAGACAGACAGACAGACAGACAGACAGACAGACAGACAGACAGACAGACAGACAGACAGACAGACAGACAGACAGACAGACAGACAGACAAGGCAAACAGAAGCACAGACAGATAAGGCAAACAGAAGCACAGACAGATAAGGCAAACAGAAGCACAGACAGATAAGGCAAACAGAAGCACAGACAGACAGCCAAACAGAAAGACAGACAAACTGATAGGCAGACAGACACGACGCACTGATCAGAATATTGCAGTGATCCGCCATTGGTTCTCCATTGTTTTGAAGTGGAAGTCAAGTCCGTAATGTAAACAAACGGTTTGTTTACATTTTGAACTGCTGTATTTTTTAAAATATGATGTACTGTCTGAATATCAAACACCATTTTGGTTCGCTATGCTTCTAAATGAATATGAAATAGCGTTTATGTTCAGAAAATTTGGGCAATGTTCACATTAGAGGTCCTCGCATTGTTATGAGCAGAATCGCGATGCGCAGAACGGACTTGACTTCCACTTTAACCATGCAATCCAGTCAATAATTATTTTGGCATATTTGTGACTATATTTATTTGAGCATTTGAATATCCTTTTTGGGATGCACGAATTAAATCGCGAGATTAGGAGTGGGCAAAAATGAAATGATGATTTTGAAATTTTCTAGGCATGTCATTCTGTTACGCAGTTAATCGAGATTATGGATGGGGAGGCTAAGAAAGACCGCGTAAGTCTATTAAAATCTTTAATCTTTGCAGTAACATAACCGTATTTATACGGGATAGCTCTATCTGTTCTGCACTGAACTCTTTAGAGGTCCAGGAAAAGTCCTTTCTCAGACTTACGTTGATGCACTAAACTGGAGCGGTTTTAAAACGGCGAAGAAAAGTCACAATTAGCCATTGCGTTCACACTACGCCGGAGTGAAATTATACCGTAACAATTTGTTTTGGTAAACGGTTTGTAAACGGAGTAAGATGAAAACGAAGCGCGTGAACAGTGGCTTCGTGTATATTTTGCTCCACCTTAGTACCCAGGCTGAGTACCCAAGATAAAATGCTGGGTTTTGGCGTGTAATGTCGAAATGTCTAACATGGTCTGTCCTCTTGCCTTTACTTGCCTTTGACAGATATAGTACTGATTTATTTAACACGAAAAAACTACTAATCCATCAGGCAAGTTAATTAAAGTTATTCATCAGTAATTGTTCTGGAAATGAGAATTTGCTGAAACCTTTTCCGGGTGCAGTTTATGATATATGCTCATAATCAAAACAGAAAAAATGTTGGGGTCATCGAACTCGTTTCGAAGATGTGACAAGTGCAATATACCGCCTTTTCCCCATATAGCGCCATCTTCACTCTTTCACGAGTTACAGGAGCAATCGCAGTTGCTCAACCGTTATTGATTTTTTTTAACAAGGATCCTACTAAATACAAGAAAACATGGTATTTTAGCGAATCAAAAACCATTGAGGGCATTGTCGTGGTACAGATTACCTTCTTAAAGAGATACAAGGGTTGAACATGCATCATGATGTGTTTAGTGTTAGTTAGCCAGAGTTCTGTCATTTTTGATGGTATATTTCCTGGAATACGCCTATAATCAGACTGGTTTTCTCTTTGCCCTTACTCTTTCGTTATCACTTTACATTGCAGTTCGGCTACATCTTTAGCTACAATTTGTTATTAGATTTGCGCAGTAAAAGTGCGCAATGCAAAACTGATGATTCACCTTAAGCAAAAGTGCAACCGTAAGGAAAGGCATTGGATTCAGTCCGGAAGGAATATTATTTGGCGGGAAATATCGTCTTTATAGTGTTAATTCAAGATTATTGCACAGAAACTGTCGCATATATCAATGTCGTTTTGTGTCTTTTGTATGTCAATCCATTGGAGAAGTCCCCCCCCCCCTACACGCTACAGACAATAGTACTTTTAAGTTCTTTGTATGTTTGCATGGCGATAAAATATATAATAGTTTTATTTAGTAATAAATTTACGTGGTGTTTCCACAAACAAAACTATTATATAATCGTACTTTTACTTTGTACTTCAAGTATTTTTAAAGATACTTTGTACTTTTTACTTAAGCACGTTTTGACTCCAGTACTTTTTACTCTTACTCAAGTCGTTGTATTGTTAATTACTTTTACTCGAGTACAAATTCAAAGTAATTTAGGCACCACTGCTCAAATTTTAGTTGCCTTCCCACAAGAGCACGGAAATACACGATAAATAAGAAAACACACTTATACACTTCGAAAGAAATAAACACGAAGTCGCGAGGTGTCTATTTTCCCCCGTTCTGCCATAGAGGTGTCTATTTTCCCCCGTTCTGCCATCATTTGAAAATATTTTACCTTAGTTCAATGAATTCCCCAACCATTAGACTTATACCTTCTTTATTTTCAGGTGACATTTTAGCATAGATCGTCGCCTACACTGAACCCTCACTTTAAAATATATTTTATTGAGCAAATGCTTTAATGAATTGCGCTTATATTTTTAGACTTTGGAGTTTATTAATTCCATGGGGCCAGACGACAAAGTTTTAATATTCGTTGGACGCAAACTAACGTAAGTTTAATTTGAAAATCGCTGTATCTAGCGTCCTAAAATCGTGTAATATTGCAATACACCGGAATGGCGTGTCCCTTGTTAAAACGTCGACCATACAGACATTTACTCGCGTACCCGGACAGACGACGCTAGAGAACGTACGGATCTAATATTGCTATTTGTCGTTCCGGTGCTATACATCTTAACTGTGATAAATATTTTTCTCCAGATTAAAGCCGCTACACAACTCGAAACTTCGATCCGAATAATCTTAAAATAATAACTGACCACAATGAAAACTATTACAGAAAGTCTTTTTTTTCAAGAGTTATTGAACTATCGAACAATCTACCACATGATTTGAAAAAACCGCATGAATATGTTTCGGACCGGCTGCAAACGTACACACCGCTGTAATTGGATTCAGATACAGTTGGCCTTATAAAATTGGATATTTGCGTTCTTACTGTATTGTTCTTGTTGTTGGTCGGCTGTCAACCGGGAATTGTTTCCTGTTATGCTCTCCTGCATGTCATTGCTTCTGTAAATATGCACGTATTGAGTAATAGAAGTAGCATTCGGGGTAACATGTTTAGAAGTCGAGACATCGTCCACAAATCCCCACATGCTACTGTCGGGTGAATTTACTGTCAAGTCTTTAACCATAATCAAGAAGAAAATCGGTCCCAGTTTACTCACTTAAGCAACACCAGCTGTCACGGGGATTGGGATGATATTGCATTCTTTCCAGTTCTTGGAACGCAGCTGGAGGTGAGAGATGTGTTAATTAAAGGACATTGGCAAATAAAAAATAGTTTGTCTCATTCAAAATAAGTCTTAAAATTAT